TACTTATGTGAAGACCGCAAGCATACAAGGCCATGGTAAACTCATTGCGCGTTGTCCATCCCATTCGACATCAAGATTGCTATTGGTCGTATTAGGCGTCCTATATCCTGCAGCCGCAGAGCTTGCTTCGTTCATCATGTCTGTCGACAAAGCCAAAGCGTATCTATCCTACGTCTTCCTTCACGATGGCATTCCCATGGACACCCATAAATTCTCTCAATCTATTGGTGCCATCACCCAGCGCTATCTTGGACGTGCGTTAGGCATGAGAGATTGGAGGCAGCTCATGAGCACCATGCTAATCAACATCGCGAAAGTTAACTTTGGTATTATCGACGAAGAAGATGCCCCGCTATTGGCGATTCACGATGCTTTCGGTCATTCCCAGTCGGTCGCAGAGGCCCATTATGCTTTACAGACAACCAATGCACTCACCGAGATCTCACACACCGCTGTTTCCTCGATGCAGAGAGTCAGTAAACGATGGCACGCAACGATCGGGCAGTTGGAGAACGGTGCAACGGGCGTCTCCAATGAACAATCCTCGGTAACGCGTGATCATGAAGAACAACTCTTCGACCGTTTGCTCGGACCCCTGAAGACGACCATCCACAGCGCAACTCGACAAGCAACCACATCTATGGGCGTCGACATTGTCGACGAGCTCAGGAATGTCGCAACTGGTGTGGGCAATGGCCTCCTAAAGGGAATGGAGGCCATGTTTCATCAATACATTCTAGCGTTGGGTGTTACTCCCAAGGCACCCCTCGGTGTCCCCCCAACGGCGTCTTTACCACGGATTTCTGTTCATCCCAACCTTATAGAACGCCTACGACCGCTCTTCCCCGGACAACGAAACCCTTCGTTCACCTCACCGCAACAAGCAGAAGTTGTACAGAGTTGCACGACCAGCGACCACGTCGTTTGTGTCATGCCAACCGGCAGCGGGAAAAGTCTAGCATTTTTTGCTGCTCCCATATTACACCCCGCCAGTTTATTCATTGTTGTCACTCCCCTAGTCGCCTTGACGGAAGACTTGTCGCGTCGTTTGGCAAGTACTACCATTCCCGGTGGACAGTATCATCACGTGAAAGACGTTTTAACGGCACAGATAGTTATCGTATCGGCGCACCAAGCAGGAACGGACGAGTTCTACCAATGGGCAAACTCCATGAGTTATAGACTCAGGCGTGTTTTTATTGATGAGGCGCACCATGTTTTCACTTCGGACGACTATCGCCCGTGCTTCAAACTATTCCACTTGATAACTCGCTTGAAGAAACCGATTACCTTTCTCACAGCGACGATGTCACCCCAGTCTTTATCGAGACTGTGCACTGAAATGCAAATCCCACCCACCATGGTCCGCGTCATCAGAGCTCCGTTACATCGACCTAACATACATTACTCTGTCATCAAAGTACCTGTGAAAGAAGTCATCCAGAAGTTTACCGATGTCTTCAATTCGACCGTTCTCAACGCAATGGACAGGGGCATTATATACTGTACGAGAATCGACCTCATCAAGGATCTCGCCAAAACTCTCGGCATTCCATACTACACCAGCAAACTCGATGATCAGCTGGACGAGCGCGCAAACACACAGGAGAAGAAACGAAGATTCCAAGCCTGGCGCGACGGTAGCACACCCAAGGAGAGATGGATGATCGCAACACTTTGTTTTGGCGAGGGGATCGATTTTCCTGGAGTCCGGGTTGTCATCCATCTAGAGGTGAATAATATGCTACGGTTCTTGCAAGAGACCGGTCGATTAGGAAGGGACGGGCTCCCCTCGTCTTCTGTTTTGATTTACAGCAAACTGCCACTGTACGGCGAGCCTGACAGAGACGAGCATCTTGGCGTACTTCCAATGAGAGAGTTCATTCAGACGGATGGCTGTCGTCGCCTCACGTTTCAACATTTTGACCCTGACGCTCACTCGTGCTCATCATTCGCCGGTACTCTACTTTGTGACAACTGCCAGTTCATGAAAAATGTGAGTGTTTCGTACTTGTTATATGCGCTCATTGTAATTGACCCAACCCTTTTAGTCTGCAGACGTCACTGTTAGGCAGGCTCTCTGGCTGCCCCGCGACACACCATCGCTACCCACACCCAACAGATATCCCGCATCATCCTCCGGAACTGTACCGAACCCTACAAATCATCAACCGCCCGCCACTGAGCATTTAACTGTGAGAGCAGTGGGGGAGGCCATCGATTCACAGTACTCTTCGGGTATTGAGCAGCTGCGCGTGCTCAAGCACATCATCGAAGTCATAGTCGCATCTGGTTGCATCGAATGTTGGGTCAGCAACCAACACGAACTGCATGCCCGCAAGCATCCAAACCTTGCAGGCGTGGGTTCCAAGGCCTCGTCGCTTGTCTGCCTCAGGCGTGCGGACACGACATATTGGCCTTTCTGTTACATGTGTTGGATCCCATTTCGTGAACCATGCCAACATCCGCCCCTCCAAGAAGGCTCCTTGCGCGATCATCAATCATGTCCCCACGGTGCCAAGTTTCCATCTATCCTTCCCCATGCGATCTGCGCCATCTACTCTCAGAAGGGTTCTATTAACAACCATACGAAGAATCCTTATTTAGATAAGATAGCCCAGCACTTGGGCGTCGACGTCAGTAACTTCGCCAACTTGGCCGCTCTGCAGAAGTGGCTCACTCATCACCCCACGCGTGCTGACGAGATCCCCCGGTGCCACGCCTTCATCATTGCGTTTTACAAGGAGTTTCGTATGCTACCTACACCCTCCACTAACGATGTGCATATGACGGACGTTCGAACGCATGATTAATATTATATCTAAATGCTCTGATATACGTCTACTATCCCTCATGAGAATCGCATATGCTAGTTCAATCAATAATACCCGAGCTTCCTTCCTACACACGCTTCTCTTCTAGGCACGGCCCTTGCGCTTCGCACAAAGGTTAATCGACATTATTCTGGACCTTCATCAGGTACGCCAGGTTCGGCTTTAGTCTCTAACCTGCCACGGTGGCATTCTGAAATATCATCCCAACTCAGCGTTACATCTTGCATCGCCCATACCTTGCAATGTCCTATTTTCTATGAGACTCACTCTTGTACTAACTGGTCTCCCCATATACACCATCGATAACCACACCGCTTAAGCCACCCCTTGAAGCATCGCGCCGGCAACTAACTAATGCTTCTTCTTCCTAGTTTCGCATCTGCCAACGGCGCTTCGATTCAATCCTCCGGTCTCCAAAGAAGCTTCGAGCCTTCTCTTCTGATTCTCCTCTATCTTCCTTCCTATTTCCAGACATTTGTCAGTCGCTTCTTTGGCCATATCGGTCCGACATCGGAATCCAACGTCGACGTACAAAAGCTCCTCCCCCCTCTCCTTGTCCCTTTACCCTCGTTTCTATCTTTCAATTGTCCTACCTACCTTTCGACTCTCCAACATGGCTCACCCTTTCGCCCCAAAGTTCGATCGACAAGCAACTCTGTGCTGCCTCTTTTGCAGTAAACCGACCTCTGATATGATCAGGCACGTGTCCGTCCATAACGAAGACCCTATCTATCTGTTTCTGGGTTTAGGGGGGTGTAAACCGTCCCCGTCCCTGCTCCTTCCTTATATGGGGCGTCCCTGCTTCCTTTTTTCCCATCTGCCGCTTTTTTGGTCGGAAATGGTAATCCCTTACCTCACACCTTCCGTTTTTCATTTAAGATGTATGTAACCGTCCCTGCGTCCCTGCTTCCTTTTATTCCCACGGGGCGCAACCATCCCTGCGTCCCTGCTCTCAAAAGGCAACCGTCCCTGCGTCCCTGTTCTTAAAAGGCAACCGTCCCTGCTCTCAAAAGGAAACCATCCCTGCGTCCCTGCTCTGAAAAGGCAACCGTCCCTGCTCTCAAAAGGAAACCATCCCTCGTGTCAAATGCAAGGTAACCATCATTTCAGTTCGTATCAATACTGACCAGCAGTGGGATGCTCCAATTCCAAAGACGTCACTGCTGGTATTTGCTGAGCCTTCCCTGTCTCCAGCTGGCTTCAGGTAGTATCTCTGAATAATGATTTAAACCGTCTCATACATACACACTTGTAGACTACCGACTACATATCTAAGAGAGTGGCAAAATGCAAAATATAAAGTGTGAAGCTGAAAGGAGGAGTCAGAGCTCAAAAGAAAGGCCAAGTGCGAAAATAAAACAAGAAATGAGACCTAGAGAGATGTGAAATGTGAAGATGACATGAGGAATGACGTCAAAAGACAGAATGACATCAAAAGACAATAAAACAGGAAAATAAAAGAAGGAATTAGAGCAAGAAAGAGCAAGAGATGCGAAAATGCGAAATATATAAGTGTGAAACTGAAAGGAGGGACGAGAGTCACTTAGAAAGGCCAACATGTGAAAATAAAACAAGAAATGAGAGCTAGAGAGAGGTACGATGTGAAAATGACAGGAGGAATGATATCAAAAGGAAATACAACAGGAAAATAAAAGAAGGAATGAGAGCTAGAGAGATGGGATAAACTGTAAAAATGACAAGGAGGAATGAGACAACATGAAAGACAAAATGCGTAAATAGAAGGAGGAATAGAGCAAGAAAGAGGCGTTGGTTTTCTTTTCTTATTGTTCGTGTCGGTTTCGGTAGTACATGTCCTTGTTGATCTGCTTGTCTTGTTTTTGATGTCATTTTTGGTAGTACATGTCTTTGTTGGTCAGCTCTTCATTTTCTTTGTGTATTTTGGCAGTACGTGTTGATTTTCATCCACTAGTGTCGTTTATGTTGTCATTCTTGGTAGTGCATGTCCTTGCTGGTCTGCCAGCCTCATTTTTTGGTGCAT